GCGACTGTAAATACAGTCTTTCAATAGGTGTCAATTGTACGTTAATTTGACATTTACATGTCAGGAGGCCAAAAAAAGACTGTATTTACAGTCGCCTGTGCATTTTACGCACAGACGAGTGTAAAGTGACAGTTTTACCGCACGGCCAAAATTATCTTCATATTTATAAAAAAAACTGTTTGTAAGATGATAACATTTTTAATAAAACGCTCTACACACAACCTTTCAATCTTAGAACTCTTTTTTCTTCACACCACTTTATAATTATAAACACATTGTACTGGGCTTCATACCCAGCTCGCAATTTTTCGGGCAATAGCTCGGTTGTAACATTTTCTGCAGTACTTCTAATTTCTGGTGGGGTACACATGGGGCTATTATCGCTCGACATTTTGAAGCATAAATTCACCAACAAGACAACGATAACAAAACTTTGTGTCTGAGATGTTTTTGCGTCTTTTTTAATTGTTTGACATTAGAGTGCATAGCCACTGTGATATTTATTGTCAAACGTATTTATTTGTATTAATTCTGAATTTTGTATTTTGGATTTTTGTTTAAACGTCGGCCAAAAAGCTTAATACAAATCTTGTGCGTTAACCATTTTACAGTGCTCAATTAAAAAAAAATTCATTTCGCACTGTAAAATGTAAGTTACCGCACACGAATGTAAATAACTATTATCGAACTCGTCTGTTACTCGCCTCGCTCTCTTCGCTCACTCGGCTCATAATCTCAAACTCGTTCGACAAAGAATCACTTTATTGACTTGGTACATAAATTACTATTTTTTAGATAATGTATAAAATCCTAACAATTAGGATGTGAATGAACTTGTGATAATATATGTCTATAATTCAATTAGATATGCAAACTAAAAAAATCAGCTAAAAATTTAAAAGTATTGATTGTTAATCAGAATAAGAACAATTTCTACAACGGAAAACATTGTTTATATTGCTTAAGGAATTTTATAGACCATACCAACGCTCGACCATCGACCGTCTTTTGTTTAATACACGGGAGAAAAACCGTAAATTTTGACAGTGTCGAAGAATAAAAATTATTGTTTTTTGAAGGGTTTTAGGCTTTTTTCGGTTGTTTACTTTTGGGAAAACAACTAAATTTGTAGGAGTCTGTCTTGTTTTTTAAGACGCCACATGCCTTGGTCCAGAAGTAAAAACCCATTTTGGGGTGTGTAAAAACAAGGTATTTTGTTAGTTATTTAGGGCGTTCTTCAGGTAATTTTGCATTATTTTGGGAGATTTTAACGGTTTTTTCGTGTGCCCAATTTTTGGTAGTCTACACATATTTGGATACTTTTGGCGTGGATAAAAATTAATGCTTTTTGAAGAGTTTTAGGCCTTTTTCGGTTGTTTGCTTTTGAGTAAACAGCTAAATTTGTAAGATTCTGCTTTGTTTTTTAAGACGCCAAATGTCCTAACCCAGAAGTAACATTTTATACTCTACTTACTTACCTACCAGAATTTCTTGAATATAAACAGTAGATAAAAATTACTTTATTTCACTAGACTAGACTACTTTATCTACTGAAATTAGTTGATAAAATATAAACAGTAGATAAAAATTACTTTATTTCACTAGACGATAAAAGACTAATTTATCTACTAAAATTAGTTGATAAAATCACTCTTTATAACAAATCACTCTTTAAAATAAAAATTTAAATTCGTTTTACCGTTTAAGACTCCCGTGATTAAAAATTTCGATAACTGATCTTTAAATTCGTTCAGGTGTTTAAAAATTATTAGCTGCACCAACTTTTGTAATTTTATCTATTCTGGAATAGTGCGAAAACCCCATTAAAAAATGCATCTGTTTACATAATATTTTTTATTACATGTTCACAGATAACTTTTGTTATAAAACTGAATATTCGATCACCTGTTTAAATCTGTAACAATAAAAACGAAACATCCTGTATACCTTTACTACCAGTAATTGGAATTTTAGGTTAAAAAGTATTCACTACTTACCAAAACTAACCATAACTAACTAATTACCCAAGAAACATCCAAAAAACGTTTCAGAGGTTAAAGTTTTTTGTCTAAATTTTATTTATTTGTGATTTGTCTCTTGTTAAGCAAGTAAAAATTCACAGATATTTCAATAAAAATGTGCTGCTGTGACATACCGAGTGTCCGGAAAAAACGTTAAGAGATTTCGGAGGATGGGCGGATCCAGGGGGACCCCAAACCTATAGACTAATAGTTAAATAGTAGTAAAAATATAGACTTTTTAAATACAGGCTGTCCCACCTAAGATTTTCGGATCTCTGTTGTTTGCTAATAATGGATTCTAACAAAATTTAAAATGTATATTCTTTAGTACGTAGAGATTAATATCGCATTATTAAAACAACCCTTAAAATGTGATTTAAAAATATTAAATTACTTAAAATTTATATCAAATAATTTATCGCCAATAAAAAATGCCAAGTAGAAGCAAAAATCTGTCTTTGAAAAGGATTCCGCTTACAAGAAAAAATATTAAAATTGTGTTAAAAGTGGCTTAGAATGCAAAAACATGGGCGGCTATAAAAAAAGGAGCGATATTACCACCCCTGACTATTCCCTGGCTGTCGGGGGACAATGACATTGATATTTAATGTTTATTGTCTCTCTAACTTCAAAAAGTAATAACGTAATTTAGGAACTGCATTTATTGGACTAAAGGTGTTTTAACTTAATTTACCACAGGTTTTTAGGGTTGAACAAAATGATACTTGGAGACGTTAATCTATTGTTTTACAGCTAACTTTGACAAAATTCTTTCAAAAATTAGGTCAAAATTTTAACAACATAAGCGACGTGTTTCTGCTGATTCAGACGAGTGGTTTAGATACTCTTTTGTATAGAGGTTTATTTTTAGTGCTTAACAATATAATACCTAGTAAAAAAAATGGAAATGCCAAACTGTGTTAACGTTGGCATCACTAGTGAATTTATTCATGGTAATTTTAATAAAGGAAGTTGGCAGTTACGGTTTTTTGAATTAATTTGAAAACAATGTCATTAAACGTCAACACAAAAAATCGTCTAAGAAAATTTAGAGACGAAACACCAAAAAAGAAACAAATTCGGTACACTACCAGTTTTTCGAAGTTTGGAAACGAATAGTTCGCAAGCAGGAAGTTAGAAAAAGGGCCCGTTAAAATGTAGACGCAATTTGTAATGCAGGTTTGCTAAATATTTTTAATTTTTAGCAAGAAATCGACAAGAATACAAAATAAACATGAATGAGAAAGAACCTCGGAAAGAAAGCAATTAAATTAGTGTCTTGTGCATCGTTTTTTGAGGAACGAGTTGAAAAAGTAACAATTTTGAAACTAAAGCGGAAGAAGTATTTATAAAATGCATCAACTTTGAACTCGTTTCAATAAATTACACAAAATTTATTGCCAATCATCATAATATGTACCTACTTTTATCTTTTGCTAAATAACTTTTTTCTGTATATACATCCTTTATCTTCAAAGTTTTTGTAGCAAGAATCTCATATTTGACATTGTACTTACTTGCGGTGTGTTTCTGTCAAAATTATTAGCACTGAATTCTGTCTTTAGACCTTAGGTAATGATGTCTGTCCTCAGGTATTCAATTATAGTGCTTTCAAAGAGGAAACAGGCACACAAGATTAATAAAAGTCAAAATTTTGACAACATCTCAATTTGAACACATAACCATAATTTTTTAACAAAATTTCTAGGGACAGAAACAAAGAGCAAACAAAATTTGTGGCTATGGAGACAAGCTGCTACCAATTTTTTCACCAAAATTTTGACTTGGTGATTTCCATTAAAAAAAAAACAAACTTTAGTTTTGCCTAATTTTAAAATCATTAAGAATTATTAAAATTATTTTGTATCTTGAGGTAAAAAATCAATAAAAATTATTACTTATTGAATCTTCACCTTCTACGAGTAAGTTAGCTACATTTTAAATTTCATAATAATCCTTTGGCAAATAACAGAGATACTACACCCACAAGATTTTATAAAATTGAAAACCGTTAGGGCGGTGATAGACTACCGTCAAACACGCGGCGGGTTACAAGCGACGTTTTTCCCGCTGAAATGGAAACAAGGAATTCAAATGGGGGTGACTACACTAGCGTTTAATACGCTTAAAACCGCTAGCCAAACGGCTGCTTCTTACGAGTTTGAATACACTACCAGCGTTTTTTTCTATGATTTGAGAAATTCTAATAAAAATATTCTCTTGTAAGTCGGCTGCTGAGAACAGGGTGCACCCATTTATCGCAGAAAAAAAACGTTACAGTGTATGCACAGACAGCCTAAGCGGAGCGAGAGACACACCGTGTGTTTTACGCTAATCTATTCGATAGGGCGATTAGGGCGATAAGGGACATTTTCCTGAGAGAAATCACAATAAACTAATAAAACATGTCTGTCTATTTATTCTGCAACGAATTTCTATTATTTACCTACACAACATTTGTCGACTGGGCGACACAAACGACACATTAGTTAAGGATGTAGTGTAGTAGTAAGTGTAATAGTAAGGTGTAGTGTAGTTGAAGTCATTTATCTTGATGAAAACTAGCAGTAATGAACAGTCTGTTTTTTTTCTTTTTTTTTCTCTTCTATTGTTCTAGTGAAGGTAAATTAGAGATAAAATTTTTCGATTTTTCTTTTGTTTTTTGATATTGTCAAAATTGTTAATTTTTTAAATGCCAATTGAATTTTTGACTTTTGACTCCATGTAGCTTTTTTAAGACATATCACAGCATGTAGCAAAATTTTTTAGCAGTTTTCAATTTGGTTTGACTTGAAAATATACCATTAACCCATGACAAACTTTTCGGTTCTATGTAGAACACCCTGTGTGTTATATCAAAACATAAAAAGAAGAACGATTTTTCTGCAAACAGATATACTATAACTAATTTTGTTTTAGGTACGAAGATTTAAAAGTTTTAAATTTTGAAGCTGGAAGATATGTTACTCGTTTTTTCCGTCTAGTTTTGACAAGTTATACAAATATAAAAAATCTAAAACGTAGGTTTATTTTTTTTTCTATTTTTGTTTTTTAATTAACGCATTTCAGATGGCACAGTTCCTGGAAATTTTCAAGTAAAGTATTTTGGAAAAAGACGAGAACGCTATCTCTTCGGTTAAAATTGTAAATACCCATTCGTGTTAACTTTGGAGATATTTTAACTTGGTTTATCTTGTGTGAGTACAAATAGAACTTTTTCTCGAATAAGTAGACATTTTTGTGGTAGAGTTTTTTCCAAATCTTGGTGGCGAGCGAACTGACGTTGTCAAAAATGACCGAATTTTGACACTAAATATACATTTACTATTAAAAAAATATTGTCCATAGACGTCGTAATAAAATGTATTCCAAAACCACTATTACTCTTTGAAAAATTATAATAAGATGAATACATAAGATGAAGAATGATGAACAAATTATTAATTTGTTAAGGGATGAAAATAATTTTTAAGAATGCTCTTTCTAAACAATCCTCGTCCTCAAAACCACTAAACCAAAAATCGTTTGCATTGCTGTTATCGTCGGTTATAAGTTCATTAACGATTATATCTAAATGATTTTCATTACTTAAAAATTGATATTCATTTGCGATCGCCCGATTGCAAACTCTTGCATAATGACAGCTAAGAAAATTTTATGAAAAAAATGCACGCCCATGTATTTCGTTATCTTAACCAAGTGGGCGCATTCCAAGTGTCTTCCCTGTCACTGTCAGTTCGCCACCAGATATGGAATAGGTGATTTTATTTAATCATATTCGTACTGTCTCCATGCCTGTTATGGCAACGACAACAGCCTAGAAGCCCAGACCGTTAAAATCCAAAGGACGGGTTAACGCATGTTCATCGCATGTTGCTAAACAAAAAGCACACTCGAAAGGCTACTTATGTAAAATTTGACATTATTTGACATGATATGACATTATGATTTTGAATCATCTTGGCAAAATCTTTTAGTATCACGAAAAGTACAAAACGATACAGAAATATGTCTATTGAAAATGCCAAATCAAAATTTAAGAATAGTAAAGTACACTGCTTCATTAGTAATGTCACAAACTCGGCTCTCGAGCGGGCCCGTTCGACCGTTTTCAGATGGTCGGCAGTTGTCGGTTTTCCGGCATTGGCTAAGTCGATGGAGACTTGACGAAAATTGATAAATCGTTTGCTCAAATTGTTAAGAATTTTGACTATGAATAATCACTTATCGCATTTTTATCTTCCCACTCCTCGTACTAATCTTCTGCTAAACTCTCCCCTTTACCGCATGTGTCGTGATTTTAATCTAATTTCTTCTCACTGTGATATAAATTTCTCCAGTTTCTCGTACATAATTTCTCCCTATATAAATAATCCAAACTAAATTAATATTGTTTCCTTCTTGGTATATCTTGTGAATTTATTTTCTTATTCTTTTATTACTTTTTAGGTTAGTTTTATTATAATTTTATATTTTTCCCTGTAATTGGATGTATATCTGTTGGGAAATAAAGATTATTATTATTAATAAAGATTATTATTTGACTTGTTTTGAAAAAAATAAAATAATATTTGAAACATTTCTTTAAAATTAAAAATTGATCTGATTCATGGTTTTGATGTCCAAAGTCACCATGTCACAAAATTATTAATTTAGGTATTATTGTTTTATTTACAAATAAATTTATTAATTAATGTAAAAGTTAAGGGTTGTTTACTACAATGCGATTAAAAAGTCTTTCTATCAAGTAGGCGTCCTAGTTGAGGACGTATGTTACATGGCAGTTCATATGTTATCTAATTATTTTATAAAAATTCAAACAGCTAATTAAATTGAATTATTCTATGAAACGTCTCAAAATATCCTAAAATGAGATTTCGTTGGTGTTTATTTATAAAAATCGTTCACCACGGTTTCCTGTCATAATTTACATAAAAATTATTTTGACATTTCTCATTTGTCATTGTGACTTTTTACCTTCCACGGACATACGTTTTACATTTCTACGCTTGCTTGATAGACAGACTTTTTGATCGCACTGTATTTATCAGTAAAGGATTTCATGTGATTTTAGTGAAATTTTTCACAGAAATCGAGTTCAGCCGCGTCCGCAGTGTTTTATCCGTATTTTAATTCAGAAATAGCGCAATCCGAATTACATTGTTATTTACTTTGCATTATTGTCAAACGTGAAATTAATTGCAAATTAAATTCTGGGCGGTTATTATCGTATCGTATAAGATATCGTAAATTTCGAACTTAACCAATTCATACCTTTGATCACTGAATGGCAAATTTTTACGAATGGAAACGGATGGCCTGCGGGCACATTCTCAACCGAAAATAGTTAAAACCTCTGTGGAGACGGAACAACGCCCGGTACGACCCAATAAATGTCTTGCCAGTGAACAGAAGTGGTGGAATTTCTTCGCGTACTGGAGCTGGATGACGTCGGATGGGCTGGGTGCGTTATAGTACTTCTACAAATAAGTGAGATGACATTATCTCTGGTAAACCCACAGACGGCTAGTAAGAATTCCGTAAATGCTAAACAGTAGACAGTATACAGGTGCACCAGAACTCGCGCCCCAGAGAAAAATGCCATATAAGGTGAGATACAAAGAACATGGAAAAAATGTTAAAAAAAATTTATCTATAAAAATTTCGAAGTTATGAGAGTTTAAATTTTGCACTTTGACTCTATTTATTTCTGTTGGAAAAATAATTTTCCAAGTTTTTTTACTATAGGCTATTAAAAGAGGAAACAAGGAAGCTGTATCCTAAATTGTAACTCTGTTCAATGTTATTTGTGGCTTTTATTGGCCAAATTTTTGTCCCTTTACTAAATAATTGTAAAAAAACATAGACAAGATCATCAGTATCCTTAAATAGATATAAAAAAATGTCAAATGTCAAAAAATAAATGTCAAAATTTTTTGACAGATAGAATTTTTTAAACATTTTTTTCTGTTCATGGTTTTTTTCATGGTATCTTACCTTACTTAAAAAAAATTTCTGGGGCGCAAGTTCTGGCGCACCCTGTATAGATATACTAGAAAATGCGTTCTTGATGCCTTCGCTGCAGGCAATTTACGGCAAAGGTGTAAATGTTATTTTCATACAAGATAATAGCCCAATACACACAGCTAGAATATGTCAGATTGGTTTTTAGAGCATTTATCGATTACTGTTCTAAGATGGCCAGCCAGGTCTCCAGACCTCAACTCCATAGAAAATCTATGGGGTATTACACCACTCACCAGTGTTAATCCCAAGCAATGAACTTTTTTTCTACTAAGTTAGAATAATAAAGTTTTAATTACATTTAGCAATTTAATTTTCTCGTTTCACGTAAAGCAAAAAATGTTTTTCCTTTACAGTTTTGGCGTAAAATCAAAGATGATTTTTTTTTCCTCTTGTAAATTCAAACCGTCGACATACTGTATATTCTTTATTAAGTTAATCCTTTGGATCTAATATCGTGGTCGAACTGACCCTTAGGATTTACAAACCCCCTACTGGCGTGGTCGAATTGACAAACGCTCGTTATACTTGTTCCGAGGAGGAACCTGAAATAATTGGTTTGTGTAAGGATAACGAAAATCTATTTAATGTATAGAAATACTAAAGAGAAAGAGAAGAATTAATATTCTTCTCAAGAAGAGTTTAAATTTGGTTGTTCATTATCAATTCTAATACAAGGTTTGAGTCTGTCAAAATTTATTATTGAGGTTGCGCCTTGATCGTTTATAACTTCAGCAGCAGTCGGGTTTACGATTCTTATAATTTTAAAAGGACCTTTATACTATGTATTTGTTAAGCATTTTATTTACAATTTGAGCTTCTCTGACATATACTAATCATTAACGTTACATTGAGTGGTTTGTTTTGCAAATTTTTCAAATCTTTATTTTGATTTTTGTTTGGATGTATCAATATGTGTTTTATTTTTTTCGAAAATGTATTTTCCCGATTTTTAATTTCGTTAACGTAATTTGTTTGTAATTCGTCTTCAGTAAATAATTGTTAATTTTCGTAATCGCGGATATGCCCAAAAATTATTTCTTCAGGTTGAAACTTTGTTGTACTGGATTTGCTTCTATTGTAAGATTTAATAGCATATGGTAATCCTGTAAATATTGGTTTATTTGGACTTTCGAGATGTATGCTCGTATAGAGAGTCTAATAAAGTAGCATGAAATCTTTCTACTACACCATTACTTTGAGGGTGTGCTACTGCGCTAAAAGTTAATTTGAAATTATACATTTTTGATAAATTTTTTAAGTATCGGTTGTAAAATTCAGATCCGACATCACAATTTTGGTATCGGAAAATGTTGAAAATAAATTAATAGTTTTTCGACTATAGTTGTTGCTTGTTTGTTTTCAATAGGATAAGCTTGGGCGAATTTAGAAAAATTATCAATGATTGTTAAAAGAATGTTGTTTCGATTGATTTCCAATAAATCTATATTAATGTGTTCGAGAGGTTTATCTGCAGTTTCAGTGATTACTAAGGGATAATTGATAATTGTTTTATTACAAGCACCGCCTCCTTAATGAAATGTATCAATATCCCGCCTGGGCATTTCGTAAAAAATGCATTGGAGCAGTGATTCCGA